TATTATTATTATTATTATTATTATTTTCTTTATTGTTATTATTTTAATGTAACTATTTATTCATGTTACATAATTTTACATACATTTAATGTTTTACAATAATCAAAGAAATCATTTCTTTCTGTCATATTAAATAACTTTGAATCACAATTTCACAATCAATTACACCAACAATCATAACTTTACAATACAATATCATATCCCGATTATTATATTAATAAAACATATTTCCCCGCGATTTCCGCTCGATCGCGGATTCTAATCCGAAAATTAGTTTCCAGATAATTGTATCTAGTGTCGCCATTGAACATAAATGCACTAGATATCCCTTCCCAAATTCCATTAACTGTTCTACGCCCATCTCGGGACGTAATATACGAGTATGTGTACGAATAAATCAAGTAGATGTGAACCTAATCTGTGAGAATATATTCAGAAGTCATTATGGATCCTGATTTGTTGTTATTAATAATATGGAAGCGATGGCAAAAGTGGAAGATGAAACAATCTCAACAACAGAAAATTAGACGATATAATATTTTAAAATTGTTTGGAATATGGAAATTGATGGTATGCCAATAAAAAAAAAATTCGTCATAGAATGTAGGTGCGTCCGATATTCGCAGAAAGACGAAGATTGTTATAAGGTGACAGTGACAATCTGGTCAAAGAAATGGAATTTGAAGATTACGAAATGTTTTACAATTATTGTAGAATGTCCTTAGAAATGTTTAATCAGTTGTTAGATATTTTTAGGCCACGCATTGAAAACATTATAAATTAATTAATATATATATATATATATATATTAATATATTTATTATATTAATATATTTATTATTAATTAATTTGATATGATAATTTAATTAATTATTATTATATTAATTAATTAACTTATCCTGATTTGATCTTCATTTTGCTCTGATTATTCTGGCTATTCACTGTGTGTATGTTTCTTCCGCAAAAAAATTAGATTCAGCGTAACAATAATAGCGTAAACAACATAAAGTAAATACGCGAAATTTGATGTTCAAGTGAAACGATGTGATTGATCGGCGCAAGTTACGCCGCATGTGATGACATCCTTAGATTTTCACCGGTGGTCATCTCATGGTTTCACCGTTTGTCATTTTCACTGCGATCATGCAGCGAAAGAAATTATTAGTGACATAACTAGAAGTAGTGAAGATCTATTCACATTAAAATATCCCAAAAACTACACTGAAGGAAACTTCACGACTGTAAATATAATCTTAATATTTAGCAAAATAAAGAAGTACAAACTTAGGAATAGGTATTCTTATCCGTGCAAAGAAGATAAATACATTAACAGCAATAAAAAAGATAATTATTAATAATTATAAGTTGCAACAATTTATTAATTTATTTGGAATATCTAAACTTTTATTTAAAAAATGTCTCTATTTCAGTGTCTGTATTTCAAACAAACAGGAGTGTAAGAGGTAAACCAGCTTTGAGAGCTAAGCCCGCTTGAAGATGTTCAAAGTGATGAGCTGCAATTCATCGAAGAGTCGTTAAATGAGTCTGCACCTAAGGAGTCTACACATCAAATTTGGCAGGAAAAAAACGTTCTTTAATCATAGAAATTATAAATCACAATTTATAAATCACAATTCAGGTAACGAAGCTGATAAAGAGAACATAAATGGCAGAAATGATCTTGAAATGTGATATTAGATAATATCTAGAAGAATAGATTTCTAATGGAGGGGATAATAAAAGGGATTTTAATCAATACCAATAATATTGATCATCGAATTATTATAAAATCACTACGTTGAAAGTCTGCTAAACCAAAGTGACACGTAGTTAATAATATAATTAATTGAATTTATTTCATATTAAAAAGATTTTAGCAACCAAGATCCTGCTTGCCGAGGAAATGCCATGTTTCGCATTGTAATCTGTTAGTTAACATGTACTCGGCCTATATCTATGTATCGCATGTTGGCTGAAAAAGACGTTTGACTTATTTGAATATTGCGATAAATATTACTATAGCCTCTAGTGAATAAAATGTCTGTCCGGAAAGCAGGCGATCCAGGTTCGATCCTTGGCTGAGGTGATATTTTTTCGCAATATATATTTCTGATGGGGGGATAATAAAGGGATTTTAATTGATATCAATAATATTGATCATTGAATTATTATAGAGTCACTACGTTGAAAGTCTGCTAAACCAAAGCGGCACGTAATTAGTAATATAATTAATTGAATTTATTTCATATTAAGACTTTAGCAACGATCCTGCTTGCCAAGAAAATGTTTCGCGTTATAGTCTGTTAGTTAACATGTACTCGGCCTATATCTATGTATTGGATATTAGATAAATTTTCTGAAAATGTTATAATTGACTAAATGACGTTTATTTATGGCAAGTTTAATAAATAATAAAAAATGTAATTACAATATTTTGTTTCTTTTCTGATTCACTCTATTTTTTAAGTATTACATCTTCTCAGTTTACATCTTGACAATAATGTATTATATGTACTAGCAATTTATTTTCGTAAAAAATTTGAATATTTATCTACAACGGAATACATAGTCATTAAAAATTAAAATTAAAATCTTCTATTGCCATATTTAAAACCCATATTAAAAAACTGCGGTCATTTTACCAATTAATATGCCGTGTAGGTTAAGAAATACTAGATTTTCACCGTTTAACTATGGGCGCGTTCCGTTTCATGCATAATGCACACTGTCTGCACCAATAACCGTTCCGTTTCATGTAATGCGTGCATTGATAGCGCAAAGAATTCCCTAGATTCTCCTTCTCTCTAGCGCATCAAGCACGCATCAACTATCGCAGCTCGGACGTAAAGCATTTGATGCGCATTGAAGATATGGTGGTAAGACTATTTTGAAAGTGACAGAAATTATGGCAAAAAAAGAATATGTTGAATTTCCTGTCATAATCGACGAAAGTAATAAAGTGATCACTCTTATTCTCAAAAAGGAAACTGCTAGTCGAGATTTTGTTTACAATTAATGCATGAAATGCATCAAGAATTGTTCCGTTTTCATCGCGCATCATGCGCATTAACAAAACGGAACGATTAATGCGTTGTGCATTGCTGATGCGGTCGATACAATCTATGCGTGAAACAGAACGCACTCTGTCAGCTGATGATGAAAAGTTCACAAGATTAAATATCTCACGCTTTCACCGGAATTAAAATTACGTGATCACAAAATGATGAAATTCACATGAGACTCACGTCACTTCTCACTGATTCGTTCTAGGGGGAAACTTATGTGATCGATGCCCAGAGGCCTAACAACGGATTGCCGGCGGTGTAAGATGTAACATTGTAAGGGTTGACCATGAATAAATCAAATAGCTTGAAGGCATAATTTTTGACGCTTCTTAATAAATAAAATAACATAAAATATCATTTTTTTATGACTTCCAAGTTTCAAATATCATTTTAGATGTGTTACGTATTCTTGCGACTTCACACCATTATATTGTGCACTTCTGCTCGCATTTAACATTTTTTTTATATTATGTATGTACATGTTCCGATATGTAAATGGTATATCTAATGAAAAGGCTTTGTGTTTGAACAGTCGTATATTATATCTGTGCAATGACAGGTATAACAATAACAACATTGTCGTCAGTGAATAGATCCATAATTGTTCAACGTGCTTTCGCAATCGATACTACATAACGTTCAATTAAACAAAATGCTTTTCATTTTGCTAATGTTTGATTCGATTTTAATCGCAATTATAATATAATAATAATTACTTTTATAGCATTCACAATGTGCAAAGAATCACAAAAGATTTAGTAGGCCAATTTGTACAGCCGTCCTAAGCCATCCTAATTCATCCGACCATTTAACCTCATCCGCACAAACTTTATTACTTTTCTTTCAGTTTTATTCGTGCTTTACGCGATGTTTTTATTTTTTATTACTACACGATATACGTCTCAACATGTAGTTGAAGAATGAAAAATAAAATGAGTATAAATTGGGAAATGAAAAAGGAGAGAGAGAGAGGAGGGAGAGAGGAGGGA